AACAGCTGAAGCTGCCGTTCGAGCACGCATACGTGCAGCCTGGAATAAATGGCATCTCCTTGCCTATATATTGATGCGGCGTGACATCCCACTACCACTACGATCAAGACTTTATAAATCTGTGATACGTCCAGTGTTGTTATATGGTGCAGAAACATGGCTAATGACAATCAAACTGGAACAACAACTTCAACGAACCGACATGAAAATGCTCCGATAGATGCAACGAATTAGTCTGAAGGACCACATCAAATCTACCGAAATTCTTCGTCGTGCTGGTTTAGATGATATAAAGGACGAATGCCGGCAACACCGTCTGCGGTGGTTTGGTCATGTCAAACGAAGTGGAAACAGTGCCATAACTTCTCTTGCTGATGTTGAAGTACCTGGCACACATCCCAAAGGCCGTCCAAAGAAGTCCTGGTCGCAAACAATCGAGCAAGACATGAAAGCTCTAAATTTAAATGAAATGGATACAACTGATAGTCTAATTTGGCGCAAAAAGTTGATGACAAAGAAAACAACGTCCTACCTCGGGAAACCGGGTCTCTGGACGCAAAACGAAGATAGATTGATTGATTGAAATCAAACAATATGTAAACTACTCAAAAGCAGCTGAACCATCTCAAACAAGTTCAGCTGGTGGAATAACAACATATATTAATAATACAATAACGCAATCAGAAATTAAAATTAATCAAAATTTAAACATAATAGTAACAAAAATAACAACCAACAAAACTATAACCATTTGTAATATGTATTTACCACCTAACACATTGACAAGAACAGAAGAGATTCTAAAGATCCTCAATGATCTTCCCAAACCTCTGATTCTCATTGGAGATTTCAATGGTCACAGTTATTTGTGGGGGAACAAACGTACAAACCTACAGGGCAAGTGCATTGAAGAAATAATAACACGAGGGGATATCCAATTAATAAAGCCTACTGGCCCCACATATTTTCATGAACAGACAAATTCTTTCTCTACAATAGACCTTACAATGGCTTCATCATCAATAAAGGATGATATTGGTTGGTCCGTTCTCAGTGATCAGCACGGTAGCGATCATTTCCAAATTATCGTCAAAATTAAAAGAGCTCAGATTAGATCAGACAAAGGAACACAACTAAATTTCAAAAAAACGGACTGGAAGCTATTCAAAGAGTTTTGTATAAACCACTTCATAACATGGGAGATCACAACCGAAGATCCGTTGAAAGTGTGGACCAAAACAATAATGCAACTAATCCATCAAACAAAACCAGTAGTAAAAAACAAAAATAAAAAAATAATAAATCCATGGTTCAATGAAAATTGCAAAGCAACAATCAAAAATAAATTTAAACACGTTAGAATTTTTAAAAATTGTCCTACCACAAGCAATTTAACTGAATATAAAAGGGCAAAAGCGATGACAAGAAAAATTTATAAGACAGGAGAAATTAAACTGTTGGAAAAAGTTTGTAAATAGTATGAAAAGCAACACTCCAATGAAGATCATATGGAGAATGGTTAACAGAATTAAAAACAGGGAAACAAAAATTCATGTACATCACATACAGGACCAAAACAAAGAATACGGAACAGATGAGGAAATAGCGAATAAAATATTCGCTTCAAAAATAAATCTTTAGCAAAAAACCACAGGAATCCTTTCATAGTACATAAAGAAAGCAAAAAAAAACCATCCTAGACTTCAAATCAAACAACAGCGAAATTTATAACTAACCAATAACCTTCAAGAAAATGATAAGTGAAATTAAAAACAGTCGGAACTCCTCCCCTGGTAAAGACCAAATTTCTTATGACATACTAAAAAATATCCCATCAATAGCAGCTGAAAAACTCTTAGAAATATATAATTACATATGGACAAGTTCTAAAATTCAAAAAATCTGGCATCATGCAATAGTGCTCCCCTTCAATAAACCAGACAAGCCCAAAGAGTCACCAGATAGCTATAGACCCATATCCTTAACCAGGTGTACATGCAAAATTTTCGAGAAAATAATTCACAATAGATTAATCTGGTATCTCAACAAAAATAACATAATAACGAATACCCAATGCGGTGGAAGAAAAGGTAGATCAACGATAGATCGCATTATATCAATGGAAACTTACATAAGGAATGCTTTAGCCAACAATGAACAGGCATTAACTATCTTTTTTGATGTAGAAAAGGCACACGATACCACATGGCAATATGGAATCATGGACAATCTACACATAGCTGGTCTAAGAGGATTGTTACCCAAGTTCATAGAAGGCTTTTTATCAAATCGGACATTTCAAGTACAAGTGAATAATGTTCTGTCAGAAGTCATGCATTTGGAGATGGGCATACCACAAGGAAGCATTCTATCTCCAATCCTTTTTTGCCTAAACATCAACACAATCAACCACATACTTCCAAAAAGTATATTGACATGTTTATACATGGACGCCTGGCAATAACCATCAAAGACGAACAAATAAACAATATTGAAAAAAAACAAATAAAATATTGGAAGACATTGATAAGTGGTCAACAACAAATGGGATAAATTTCTCAAAAGCTAAAACATATGGCCTGATTTTCTCCAGATAAAGAAGAAAAGAATACCCAAGAATAGTTTTCCAAAATAATGAAATAAAATTTAAA